AATTTAATTTATTCTTTAAATATTTCGTTAATCCTGTGTTTTATTTATTTCATATTTAATTACACTATTTCGATTATTTATTTGAATAATATTTATTCAATTTTTCGTTTTACTATTTCTTTAATTCATTATCTTAATTCGTTAAGTAAAAAATTATTATTTTTTTAATTTATTCTTTAAATATTTCGTTAATTATGTATATTATTTATTTCGATTATTTATTTGAATAAAAATAATAATATTTATTCGATTTTTCGTTTTACTATTTCTTTAATTAATTATCTTAATTGGTTAGGTAAAAAAAATATTATTCAATTTAATTTATTCTTTAAATATTTCGTTAATCATGTGTTCTATCTATTTCATATTTAATTATTCTATTTTGATTATTTATTTCAATAATATTTATTCGATTTTTCCTTTTACTATTTCTTTAATTCATTATCTTAGTTCGTTAAGTAAAAAAATTATTGTTTTTTAATTTATTCTTTAAATATTTCGTTAATTATGTATATTATTTATTTCGATTATTTATTTGAATAAAAATAATAATATTTATTCCATTTTTCGTTTCACTATTTCTTTAATTAATTATCTTAATTGGTTAGGTAAAAAAAATTATTCAATTTAATTTATTCTTTTAATATTTCGTTAATCATGTGTTTTATTTATTTCATATTTAATTACTCTATTTCAATTATTTATTTTAATAATATTTATTCGATTTTTCCTTTTACAATTTCTTTAATTCATTATCTTAGTTCGTTAAGTAAAAAAAATTGTTTTTTAAGTTATTCTTTAAATATTTCGTTAATTATGTATATTATTTATTTCGATTATTTATTTGAATAAAAATAATAATATTTATTCGATTTTTCGTTTCACTATTTCTTTAATTAATTATCTTAATTGGTTAGGTAAAAAAATATTATTTAATTTAATTTATTCTTTTAATATTTCGTTAATCATGTGTTTTATTTATTTCATATTTAATTACTCTATTTCGATTATTTATTTGAATAATATCTATTCGATTTTTCCTTTTACAATTTCTTTAATTCATTATCTTAGTTCGTTAAGTAAAAAAAAAAATATTGCTTTTTTAATTTATTCTTTAAATATTTCGTTAATTATGTATATTATTTATTTCGAGTGTTTATTTGAATAAAAATAATAATATTTATTCGATTTTTCGTTTCACTATTTCTTTAATTAATTATCTTAATTGGTTAGGTAAAAAAATATTATTTAATTTAATTTATTCTTTTAATATTTCGTTAATCATGTGTTTTATTTATTTCATATTTAATTACTCTATTTCGATTATTTATTTTATTAATATTTATTCGATTTTTCCTTTTACAATTTATTTAATTCATTATCTTAGTTCGTTAAATAAAAAAAATATTATTTTTTTAATTTATTCTTTAAATATTTCGTTAATTATGTATATTATTTATTTCGATTATTTATTTAAAGAAAAATAATAATCTTTATTCGATTTTTCGTTTCACCATTTCTTTAATTAATTATCTTAATTGGTTAGGTAAAAAAATATTATTCAATTTCATTTATTCTTTAAATATTTCGTTAATCCTGTGTTTTATTTATTTCATATTTAATTACTCTATTTTGATTATTTATTTGAATAATATCTATTCGATTTTTCCTTTTACTATTTCTTTAATTCATTATCTTAGTTCGTTAAGTAAAAAAGATATTGCTTTTTTTAATTTATTCTTAAAATATTTCGTTAATTATATATATTATTTATTTCATATTTAATTAATCAATTTCAATTATTTATTTGAAATGTATATTTAAGTAAAAAAGAAAAAAAATTAAAACTCAATTTAATTTATTTTTAAATATTTCGTTAATTCTCTTAATATATAATTTATTTTATATTTCATTTTATTTCTTAACACAAAAATAAACAATAATTCTGAAAAAAAAATATTTATTTTTGACCCAAATCCGGGTCCGGATAGCCGACTCGGACCAAAATCCGGGTCGGTGTGTCCGGACTGGTCCGGGCCATATGGTCGGACCAGTCCGGACCCGGACCATCCTGGTCCGGTAGCCGTAACGGACCACATGGTCCACTACGGCCCATGGTCCGTAGCGGACCATATGGTCCGTTACGGTCCGTAACGGACCATTTCTGGTTTGTTACGGACGATACACCGACGGAGCCGCCGGAAACTCCATTTTCGGCGAGCTTTTCGGTGAGTTCCGTCCCTTTTTTTCACTCTTTTTCAACATTTTAACCTTAAATTCGATATTTTCTTACATTTTAACCATAAAAACATGAATTTAACCCATATTCACATCCTAAACATTCAAACTTTCACAAATTCAAAGTAGTTATTTATAGAAAACATGTTTAACCTTCCAGAAAATGACGGTCTCCGGCGAATCGAGGTGGATCTGGTCTTGGTCGAAGTTGATGAGGTCCGGGCAGTCCGTAGGCGACGTCGAACAGTCCGGGCTGATTTTTTCTTTTTTTTTTTCTCTTCTTTTTTCTCTCTATTTTCTCTTCTCTTATTTCCTTGATGGGGGTATTTTCGACCTACACAAATAATAACATTTTCCCTCTTTTTTTTTTTTTTTTAAACTTGGTCAAAGGCTATTTTGATAAACATACCGGGTGGGGCAGCCATTGCCCACCATTTCCTCGGTAGCCGTGAGACCCACCACTAAGTTGAGAGATAACTCGACAGAAGTTCCCACCTCCCCTGCCTCATC